CATTGGTCATTTTAGTCACCTTAAGCATGTTTTATGAAACTTAAAAATATTTGGAAAAACTGGCATTAAACTTTTGCTGCATGTACTTTTGAATGGTTAAACGGGTTTTAAAAAGAAATTTTTGTTTCTATGTCTAATTAAATACTTGGCAACTTGTATGATCTCATATTTGTTTTTGGATAATTTTTATTTGTTAAAATAATATTTTTGGTTTAGGAAGGATGTAACATACGATACTTTTTTATATACTTGGCGTAATCTTTTTCTTTTTTTAAAAAAGAGTTTTGGTAGGATTGTTACTTTCTCAAACAAAAAACATTTTGCACACAAATATTTTTTTTATTTTTTAGTACAACAGTAATACTAGATGATCAGATATTTTCAACCACTGTTTCTAATGGACAGAATATGGATAAGTATACTGTTGAATTCGTGCAAAATCAACCGTCGCCGCGTTTTATTAAAAGTCACATACCTATCGATCTATTGCCGACAGTCATAAACAGCGGTTGCAAGGTATTTACAATTCAATATTTATTCAATTATTTATAATTATTTACAAATACACTACATTAATAAAAACGAAAGAATTATGTCAAATCGCGGTAAATAACTTCCTTGAAATTGTCACTAAAATTCATTAAAGATAAACTTGTTGAAAGATTTCTCATAAAAATTGGATTTAACGCGTTTATAATCGGTCATTTTGTGTATGAATCGCTGTATTCAACCGATTTGATAGTATATTTGACTGTTATTTATAAAATCTTTTTATGTATTAATTTATAATAAATATAAATATTAATTTATAATAAATAAAAATGATTTATACACTATTCAAAAATATTACTTTTATTCGTAGATCGTCTATGTCGCTCGAAATCCAAGAGACGTGGTGGTCTCATGGTACAATTTCCAAAAGGATATAAAAATTTTCGAGTTCCAAGGAAGTTTCGAACGCTTCTGCAATAATTTCATGGATGACAACAGTAAGTTTTGCAAGATCTCGTTCGTTCTTCTAATTTAAACTTTTGCTTATACTTCTCATTATTTCAGCCCACTATAGTCCATATTGGAAGCATGTAAAGGAAGCTTGGGCGATAAGAGACAAAGCAAACATGTTGTTTCTCTTTTATGAGGATTTGATAAAAGTGAGTTGAGAAAGTCATCATTTAAAAAAGTACACTATCAGCTGTATCACCTCCGTTTTGAAGTCTAAATAAACGATAAGGACCCAGTAAACAAGAACATTCAAGTAGAATTTTCAATCTACTTAAATTCAAAAAAAGTTTCCCGTGAAAATGAACTATAAATGTTATTCATCTAAATAAAAAAAAAATATTTATATATTGAAACAATGCATTTCCTGGTCAATTTTTGTCCTAGTCACAATTAATATAATACAATAATATTATATAAATATTATATTATATTCGTATTATGAAATAGAAATGCATTCATTTCCATGGAGACCAATCGATTTCAATCAACGAATTAAAAAGTTTAATCCATTTTAATTCTTTCTCATTTACTGAAGATAAAAAGTTATGTAATAGTGCTAAATAACGCTGACAGCAAGCTCCACGCCTCTAAATAGCTGATTGCAATTGGATCAAATTACAGAAATAATTATACGACCAAGAAAATATAACACTTTTGTCTAATCTTAAAGAATATCAAAATTCCTATAGATAATGTTCATTTCCATTTTGCATAGGATTTACCTGGAACCATCAAGAAGATCGCCGCGTTCTTCGGCAAGGCTTACAGCGATGAGCAGATCGCCAAATTAGCGGAGCATTTGAAGATAGAGAATTTTCGGAAAAATCCCATGGTGAACCAGCCGAGTCCTAGCTCGACAATGAATCCCGAAGCGTTTATTCGGCAAGGGCAAGTGAATAGTTGGAAGGAAATGTTCACGTCAGAGATAGAGGAAAAATTCAACAAATGGGTCGCTGATAACTTGAAGGACACGGATCTAACATTTCCAAACTAAATCCTGATTTCGATCTATAAAACTAATTACGATTATAAAAGATTGTTATCGATAGATTGAAAAATCTAGGACTGATATTCATAATCGGTTCTTATGTTTAAGATTATCTTAAGTACAGCCTTAAGATGATCTTAAATGTAAGAACCCGCCTCTCCTCCCTCCGATTATGAAGAACAGTTCTAGATTTTATCTTGAGCCAATCACAAAACTGTATTAGCATTTTAAGATATTACTAAAGACGGTTTTAAAATAAGAACGAGCTATGAATATCAGCCTAAGCTTTTAAGAAGGAAACGATCAAATTTCTTTCAATGATAAAGATGAATTGAAGCTAATGGATTGAACAGTATTTTAATTAATATAAATTATTAAATTGTGTAATCGTTTGCAAGTGTGTAATTATTTGCATTTTCGATCTGTAATTATTACATATGCGTCTCTCATATTATCTTGCGATTTTGTCGAGTCAAGTCAAAACGCAAACGACGAAATGCACTTTAAACGCTATATTTACACAATTTTAAATAATCCGCGTGTTATATCTACCGATAATTAAATCTTTATTATTAGAGGAAAATGTGATATCTTAGAAGTTATCAAATATACGATTACTTCTGGAACCAGTAATTGTAATCAGTTATTTATAGATAGATAATAAGTTTTTCAATTTACCTCTATCAAATCTTCATAAAAGAGGAATAACAGGAAGTTTGTTTCATCTTATCGCCCAATTTTTTAATTAAATTTTTAATTAATCTTTAAAAAATGAATAACCCCTAGTAAAAAAGAACTACTAGTGCAGTAAAAACACTACTGAAATGTAGTAGTGTCACTGCTATAACAGCAGTGCCACTACTACATTTCAGTAGTGTTATCACTGCACTAGTAGTTCTTTTTTACGTACAGGAAACCCGACGTTTGCTTCGTTTTATCACCCAAAATTTTTTTAAATACTTGTTTATACTCGGTTAATAAACGGCATTAATTGCAAAAAATATTGTTGCATAGTATCTTGCGTAATAATATAAAGCTACATATGATAAGATTATAAAACTTATATAATGTTTCCTATTTCCCTGACTTTTTTCAATTTTATTAAACTTCGCCTTAATTATATTTTTTAAATTCTACAATTTAAATCAAAAAGTTTTCCAATGATAAGTTGGAAATTCATTGAATTTTTTTCAACTAATTTCTATAAAGAAGAAATCGGGAAGCTATACTAGTTGGGAACAAGTTATTAATATAATGGCGAATGTGTATCGAATTGTATCTATATATGAAATATATAATTAGTGTAACAATAAAATTTAATTCAATACAAAGCTGAAGAATTCCGAAAAGTTTTCATTGAAATACATTATATCCTAAAATTTATATGTAATTTATAAATAACGGAGGAAGGATATCTATGCGATAGATAAAGGACCTATATACATCTGCAACTAATACTTCGCGTGAATTTTGTTTATTTTTATCTACAAAGCATTATCTCCAATGCATCACATGTTACAACAATATAATCGACTTAGAAAATATATTTCAACCCTAAGATTCATAACGGAAGGCAAGAGATAACAGCAGGCCACGATATTTTTGTAAATCAGCTTCAAATGTGTTTGAGATTTATTATATATATATTTCAATCTTTTTCTTCCTGTTCTCTTGCTATTAAAAGACGAAGACTATAAAGAATCTCTCACCGGAGAGTATTGTGAGAATATCATATTCGAAGAGAGGCGTGAATTAATTATCGGAAAAACCTCACGTCCAATATATTCCGCTTTTTATCTGCGTGCATTACAGGAACTTTTTAAAGCGCGCAAACGCGGAAAATAAATATTAAATAAAGGGATACAACTAGTTAATTCGAGTACCTATTATGTACAAAATTTCACAAAACTTGCCACAAATGTTATAAAATAGATATTAAAGCTGGAAAACGCGAATGCATGTTCCCTTCAAACACAATTGTAGGCAAGAGTAACAATAAATTATTATTTTTTAATCGAGTGTCGGTAGTATCGATACTTTTACTTTTTTAAATTCCAATTAAATTAAATATCTGACGCAATTAAATTGATTTAAAAAAAGACTAATATAATTATAAATAATTAAATTTATAATCAAGTCAATATTTTATGATGCTAAAAATAAGTTAATAAATCTACTACAGTAAAACTGACAGAAAATAACATAAAGATAATACATGTTGCCGAAAACTTTCACAGAGGATTACCTAATTAAATTGCGATTTGGAGGGAACATAAATTTCTCTGCTTCTCGGGTACGCCCGTTTTACGCGGGAAGACTCATGTTCGGATTTAAGATCCAATCGAAAAATCTGGCATACAAAAATATACTCTGTAAAATCTAACAGATCTCTTTACAGCTACGGGACGCTTGGCAAGCAAACGGAACAGGGCTATGGACGTAACGTTAAAATGTCTCGGCGTCGTCACAGTCGCGCGTGTCGTGCCCGAACATCTCACAGTTCTCGCAGTACGGCCTCTCCACGGATTGCTTCTTCTTCGGGGTTTTCACCGCTCGCTCGGTAGTCTCCGTGAAATCCTGGGCCTGCCGGGGACAGTCCTCCGTCTCGTGCAGATCGAACTGATCGCAAATATCACAGAACATACGGGGTGCCGCCGTTCGCTTGTCCAGCGTGCTTCGGGAGTAGTCCTCGGCCTCGTTCGCGGGGACCCCCATCTCGAGGACCTCGATCTTGCACAGCAAATTCTCGTTCTTCCGTTGCATGTCGACTATCACGGAGTTCAAGAAGTCTATCTGGCTCTTCGCGGTGTCGTTCTCCTCTTGCAGCTTCGCAACGTCGATGTCCCTCGGCACGATGTGCTGTTGTTTCGTGTCGCCGTCGTAAGAGTTCTTCAGATTTTCGTGCGATAGCTTCAACTGATTCGTCGCCTCCAGCCATTTCGCGGTGACCTGCTTATTCTCTTTCTCCAGCCGACTCAGCTCGTCCAGAAGTCGCGTCTCCTCCACCTTGGCGACGTTCAGCCTCTCCTGCAGGTTTTGCACGTTCTTGCTCACCTCTTTCTCGTTGGTCTCCATGGTTCTCGCCAGATCGGCCGACTTCGTTTCCTGTTCTCGTAACTGCTTCTCGAGCGCATTCACCGTGTGCTGCAGCTCGTGGATTCGCTTGTTCGCGCCGCTCAACTCATTCTGCTTCAACTTGATCTCTTCGTTTCGCGACTGCTGTTCCGCCTTGACTCTCTCCACTTGCGCATCTTCCAAAACTTTCACCTGCTCCTTTAATTTACTAATAACAGCTTCCTTATCGTCTAAATCGATTTTGTGCTTGTCCGCAACATCATGCGATAATCGCAACTTGGTCTCTAACTCTTCATTTCGCTTATTCATGTCGTCAATCATCTTCTGCTTAGCTGCAACTTCGCATTCCAAGGAATTCCGTAGTTTCAGCATTTCTTCCTCCTTGGAAGACTCTGATTCCTTTATCTTAACCTCTGCTTCTGTCCGCAGCTTCTCTCTTTTGTCTAACTCCTCGTGCAAATTCGATAACTGAGTCTCCAGTGACTTCACTGAGTTCTCCAAAACAGTCTTGGTCTCGGACAATTCACTTATTTTACTTTGTTTCTGCGTGATCGCCTCTTGTGCATTTTTCAATTCATTACTATTACGAATATGCTCCTCTTTCATGGAAGAGACTGTAGCATTCAATTCGGCTAACTGAGCCTGCGATTTGTCTGCCGCCGCTCTCGCTTTAGATATTTCGTCCATCTTATCTTTAATTGTTTCTTCGGCATCCTTCAATTTGGTCTTAAACTCTTCTACCGTACTAGACATAGTATTTAAAGACGTCGTTAGAGTCTTATCGGCAGTCGCTTTATCGTTAACTAAGGCATCGTGCACTCTCCGTAATTCCGAAAATCTATTTTCCACATCCTGAAGCTTCGACTCCTTCTCCCGGAGCACACTCTCCAGCTTCGACGTTTTGTCCGACTCGGATTTCAACTTCTCCGTCAATTCCTCGATCGACCAAAGATTCGCGCTTTGATCGGCCTCCAGTTTGCTCTTGCACTTTTGCAAATTATTTATTTCATCGCGCGAAGTCGACAATTCGGCCGACAAATCCGTAATTTTTTTCTGCATCAAGGAAGACTCTTCTTGGCGAGAATTTCGCAAGGTCTCGCACTTCCCGCGAAGATTAACGATTTCTTCATCCTTCCTCGTCAATTGCTGCGTAAGGTTGATGACTTCGTCAGACTTTTCCACCAAATTCTTCTTTGCGCGTTCACCTTCTTCAACCTTCGCCGACAATTCGCTCTTTTCCTGTTCGTATCCGCGTATCTTCTCCGCATAATCTGCATTCGATTTTTTAGTCTCGTCCATCTGCGACTGCAAATTCGATTTCTCCGAACGCAGTTGCTCGACTAACGTCACGTTCTTATTTAATTCCGTCTCGGTATTGGACAGTTTTCCCTCCGTTTGCTTCAGCGTGGTCTCCGTTTGAAAAATCTTCTCGCGAGCTTCGTCCAATTCCTTCTCCTTTCTTCGCAAGTCCTCGTTGTACCTCGACAGCTGTTCCGACGAATCGGCGGAAGTGCTAATCGCGCTCGCTATATCGGACTCCTGTAATGAAATTTCATTAATCCAATGAATTAGTATAGGTAATTTAATTAATTATTCTACTAACCAATTTTTCCTTCTGCAACGAGAGTTGCGATACTTTCTCCTCCGCCCTCGCGACTTGCTGATTCAACTTCTGCACGTTCGACTCGAATACGCGAAGTTCGCTCTCCAAATTCGTTGTCGTTTGCTCGGATAATGTGAGGGCGTCTTGCAATTCTAGTAGATTCAAAACAAACCAATTTAACGTTTTACATTAATAATTAATTAAAATTAAAACAAAATTTAATTATTATATATATTTAATTTAAATTAATAATTAATATGTAATTAATTTTACTAACTTAAACTGAGAACTGTGAGTAAAAACTTCAAATCAATTCCCCGTTTTATTTTACCTGAAGTCTTCTCGAGAAGATGTTTGATCTCTTCATCTTTGCTCGCTATAATCGCCTTCAAATCGGCGACGTCTTTATCCAACTTAACGAGCATTAGGGCTTTTTGCGCAACGTCCGCGTTTATCTGATCAATATACTTGACTTTGTCATTAATTTGGGCCTCGAAGCGTTTGGTTATCTCTTCTATTTGAGCCATAGTGGCACTTCGCAATTCTGTGAGCTCCTTGTCCTTCACTTTCAGTTCCTCGCTCAGTTTGTTTAACCGCGCGGCGGACTCCTCCTCCGAAGCGATTAAGCTAACTAGATCTTGCTCCTGGATTGATCACGTAACGTGAAAATAACGATGCGAATGCTACATTCGTGCGAAATAAAAAAAAAGAATATTTACCAGCTTCTGCTTCTCGTGAATAATCTTGATATTGTCATCACTCTTGGACCTGTAGTCTTGAATTTGTTTTGACAACACGCTGTTGCTGTCCTCAGCTAATTTAAGCCTCGTACTTAGTTCTGTAAAATACATGCGATAAAATCAATCAGACTTCGCCTTGCTGCAAATCGCAATTTAATTTTTTTATTATTACATAAAATTTTTATATGAGAACTAAAAATTATTTGCGTAATAAATTGAATGTTATCAAAAATATTTGATAAAAATACTATTTCCGTTGAATGCCAATCGACGTACTTTACACAAATGCATAAACGATAGAAGACTAAATTTCTCAATTATCCATTTTTTTTTTTTACTTTTATTTCTATGAAACAAACCTTCCAATTTTCGTAGAGCGTTAATCAATTCTTCGTCTTTCTTCTTGCAAAGTTCTCGCTCAGCGGCCAATTCGGCCAGCAGTCTCTCTGTCTCGGATATCTTTTCACCAAGCTGCTGCGAGAACTCCTCGATTCTCGTGTCTTTCACTCGCAACTGTTGCTCAAAAGACTCCGAAAGTTCACGGATACGGTTAACATTCTCGGTCTTCAAGCCCTCTAGAATCGCATTCTGCTGCTCTAACAGCTTCTTGGACTCGTTCTCCAATTCCTCGGTCTTCGCTTTGATCAATCGATCTCTCTCCTCGATCATCTGCCGATACTCCGACAGCAGCGAGTCCTTCTCACTTGCGCTTTCTTTCTTCATCGTTTCGATCGTCTCCTTCGATTTTCGGAGCTCCTCGCTCAACACACTCGCATTTCTCTCAAACTCCTGCTTCATATTCTCTATTAACGTCTCTTTGTCCTGCAAGTTTTCTTTGACGGCCCCCAGTTCTTTCTCCAGGAGGCTTTGAGACTCCCTGTGCGTCGTGCTCTCCTGTTGCGTCTTGCTCAGCACAAGCTCCAGTTCCCGGATACGCTCCACGCATTCGCCCACCAGACTCGATTTCTCCTGCACCTCCTTCTCCAGACTGGTCTTAATCTCCTCCAAGCTCTGATTACGGCTCTCCAGATCTAAAATTCCGCCTCAGGATAAAGGGGGAGAGCGAAAAGTGATCATTGGCAAAAAAAAAAAATAGACACAGATCTCAAATCTAGGAGATTTAGGATCTGATCGCGCATAAATCTAAGTGTCGCGTGGTCGCGGATATACCTTGAAGCTGAGAGTTTTGCGAGTTCGTCGCGCAACTGATCTCGTTACGCAGCCGCGACAATTCCTCTTCGGCCTCGAAGAGTTTGATGCTGTCGCGTTCCGTCTGTACGACGCGCTCCCGTCGCTCCTCCGCGAGTTTATCCTCGAGCTCTTTGATCCTGCTTTCATTTACAGTATTTATGACCTAGTGTGATAAGGGCAGCTGTTTAGTCTCTAGAGAGAGAGATACGAGATCACACAATAAATCCGCTTCGGGTATTAACACATACAATTGTTTCCCCAATTACGAAAAATATAAAACAACGGTTGACAGTTTCCATTTTTTTTAAAGATGTTATTCAACTTAAGTTTCAAGAATCTAACTTTAAAGTTTTCATAATTAATTAAAATTATCTATTGGAGAAAATTAAATTCGTATAATTTTCTTACAATATAACACACAAAAATAAAACACAAGTCATATAAAACCAGATGTGATTTGACTATAAAAGTTTAAATTCGAAATATTACGTAAATTCGTTTAAACAAAACGATGAAAAAGAAAACAGACACTGGTTTAAATTTCTAGTAAAATTATTAAAATGAAGCTATTAATACCCGAAAGCGTATATTGATAAGTAAAAAGCACAACATGGATATACAAAGCACAGTGATTGTTGAATGAATATTTCATCGGATGGAGAAAAGAAAAAGAAAGAAGTAAATCAAGAATTTTTACGCGTATGTGCTCAATTCGCAAGAAACATATTATTCAAAATTTTGACATTCGTGCATACAAACAAAAACCACAAACAATTGAAGAAGAGTAATTAAGTAATATAAATAACTTCAGAATACAAAAAAAAGCGATTAATTAAATTAATACAATGCGAATAAAACGAATAAATAAAAATTAATAAATTAAATAAATTAATAATCAAACGTGTTAACAAATAAATAAGTACATCACGCCTACAATATTATTTTGTACATTTTTATGCATACAAAGCGTGTGTAATTTGTGAAGCTCATTATACTCCACAACAGCAAAGCGTGACCAAGTTATAATCATCGTTAATCCATATTTCCATGTAAAATTAAAATCGCGAAAAACGAAACTACTCATAAACGTGATAACAGTTTGTACAATTTCAAAGTTTCAAGTTCAAAGGCTCGGCAAGGAATTATCGCGCGCGATTCCATCTTTCAAATTGGCGTGCGATTAACAAGCAAGCGTCTACGACATCACAATGTGTAATTTAGTTTTGTTAGTATGACCGGCGCAAAGTTAACCAGCGATAGCAGTTTTCTTAGCGTTTCTTTTTTTTTATTGCGCGTTCCAGCCAAATCTCTGATAAAACTGCGACGAAATGCAAAATGACATGGCTAGAGTGATGATTAGGCAAGCGGTGCCGAAATACTGCGTCAATCCTTCCACGGGCCCGAAGCATCGGATACTCACACTTTGCTCAGATCTCTCTTTCTGAAAATAAATGATAAGTTTGCCGGATTAACAGAAAAACTGAATGCGTTCTCCTCACTTCCTAAAAAATATCAGATTTTCTTTTTTTTCTTTCCCTTAAGAATTGTTTAAGTAAAAATTCAACAGGGTTTGTAACCAGTAATTAATTTTTTTTGTGTTAAAATTTCTATTTTCATCAAGCGATAATTTTTGACGTGGATATCGATCTAATTATTATAAATCACAATTAATATATATCAGTTTTAAAAGAAAATTCGAAACGGGATATTTTTGCACGAAATATTCTGCCGCTAAAAGTTACCAGGCTAATTTCCCCGAGCTGCCAAGTCGATGTAGCTATAAGCACGTGTCGTAACGTAATATCACCCGCCACCGTTATCCCGCGTGCGTACCGAATTTGCGCATTTTACGACGAAAGCGTGTACAATATTTGGTTTCGAGTAATAACAGAGAGATACCATCCAAAGTCTCCTAGTATTACGAATGAGATACGTATGATAATTATTATGTAGAACGAAAGCATATACTTTAAACAAAGAGTAATATAACAGAAATTCAAACGTTATTCATCTAAAATATCGCACGAAATTCCTTACTCATACCGGGTCTGTCTTTGTAAGAAAAAAAAAATGTCACTGCAATATCATTTTTTGAAAATATCTTGCGTGTGTAATAATATTAATATCAAAGTATACGATACGTAGACAAAATGATAGCATGAGTGAACATACTTACTCGGGATATTCCGAATATGTATTTTCTCCTATTTTTAATGAGGTATTCAACATTTGTCATGTTTGAGATAAATGGTCATATGCTCGAATTGTATATAAAAATCGGTACTGAACGTAGACGTGCACGCGCGTACCTGTATGTCGTCTTTATTCACGGATTCTTCCTCGAAACGAAACAGAAGATCCTCGCACTTCCGTTTCTCATCTTCCAACTGCACCGCCAACGCACTCTTCTCGTCGAGGAGCTTGGCGACGGTGAGCTCCGCCTCGCTGACCGTCTGCTGCATCTGCTCGCGATACTGAACATCGTCAATAATAAAAATGCCGAGAAAAAAAAGAAAGAGACGGGAGATGGAGGTTTTTCGAAACTGGGACAAAAACTTCAGTAAATAAACGTAAAGATTGCATTCGGTTTGTCGCATTGATGAAGCGAGATATTTCGACTCGTTGACGTTGATACTAGAGCTAGTGATTTGCTTCGAAGGCTTCAATATTCAAACTTCGAAGTTTCAAAGATTCGAAGCTTCAGCATTAAAATCTTCGAATTCTTTCGAAGCTTCGAAGTTTCGAAGTTTCGAAAAATACATGTGCAAATGATAAATTTATTCAGAAAATTTACAATTATTGTAAATAAAATGAATTAATATATACCTATATATATACCTATATATATACACAATTATTTTTTAAAAAAATTAGAAAATATAACCTGAAATATTATATACAAATTATTAATTAAACTTGATACATGTGTAAATAAGGAAAGATAATGATCGATAAAACAATCTAAATAAGAAAATTCAAATTTTTAATGTATTTTTCAAAATTTCGAAGCTTCAAAGACACTTTAAACTTCTAAAGGTCAAAGTTAACGTGTTCGAATTCTTTCGAAGCTTCGAATATTCGAAAGTAACAGCCCTAGTTGATATGTTGCGCGAACTCTGCGAGAAGAGCGTGAAAAATGGACGCGATACTTCGCAATGTTCGGATGGATTTGTCCCCGTTTGAAAGTCCATCCATCGCCGCGAATTTGACATCGATTTGCGAGTATCTACCTTCTCATATTCTTGCTTGATCGAAAGCGCCGATTGTTCCGCTTGATCAGCTTGATTTGCCGCCTTGGTGACTCTTTCGCGTTCCAAGTCCCGCTCCTTGCGCAGGAGCTCGATCTCCTGCTGCTTCTCCTTCAAAACCTCCTAAAAGTAGTACGAGTCGGGCTCTAACTTATTGTCGTGGCGAATTATACGTGGGGAATTTTAGGACGAGAAGGAAATTTTAGAAAAGGAAAATCGTGTGTCACCGCAATATTAGCGCGCAATAAAGTAGAATATCAATCATAATTTCATGTTCAATAATATTACTGTGATTTGGCGGTAAAATAGCCTATGTACATTGTCCACGGCAAAGTTATCGCAAGAAAGAGACGCATGGCTAAAATAATTTATTATTCTCTTTCTTTACATTTTTGTAAAAGCTATGTCGAGCGAAGAACAAAGCTAGACGCTTATCTGTCTGCGTCTATACAAATTATTACAAACTGACAAAGCAGAGTTGCGACAAGCACTATAATTAATTCTTACACACCGATGTCCTTGTAAAATTTTTGCAAAAGCCGTGGAATATGGAATAAAAGAACGGTGATAAATAATTGAAACAATTCTGCTGCATCGCATAAGTTTTTACAAAGTATATACGAGAGCAAAATAAATTGACAGTCCTACGCGCTCACACGTAGCTCTCTACTCGAGTTGAATGTTAAGCACCAATAAGAACGCGAGATGAAGTGATCGCCGATTGAAAATTCTCCGCTCGATCGTTTACTCGCGTTGCATTCCGCATTATGCAACAGCTTTGCCAAGATCGCGCAATCATCGAATTTATGCAACGGGCTTTTTAAACCGAGACGCGAGACAACCACGGACGACGTACAACGTTCTGGATCGGATTGCAATTAGCAATACAAATCAACCATCAATATGTACTTTTGATCGCGATTATCCGAGCGGCGAGGTTTGATTAATCGGCTCGGTGATGCTGGTCGTCGTTTCTCTCGCCAACGCAGATATCGATCTATGTTCAATTATGCCGCGGGAGATCGTTAAGGAACGAATTAATCGGGTAGAGTTGAGATAATCGCGCGCGCGAAGGAATAAACGATCGAAATAAACGCAATAAACGGCAATATGTTAATTGTCGTGCGGATAGAACGTACATAGGAGAGAGAGAGAGAGAGAGAGAGAGAGAAATACTTACCTAGAAGCCGAAGGACATTTACAAAGGAAGGGAGTATACGTGGGATTTTATTAATATTATATACAGAGCTATATATATTATAACAATCGACGATGCGACGAGCAATAACAATAAATTAACGGTAAATAATAAATAAATAAAATCGCAGTTAACGGCAACCGTTAACGGCAATCATGACCGTGCCTCGCTAATCGGCTAAACATCTCGCTAATTATCCTAATTAACGTACATTCGCGTCGCAACGCGCTTGTTAATCTACATCTACACACATCTGTCTCTATACGAGGATGTACGTACTAATTGGGATCGGTCGAAGGGAGAGAATCGCGGCCGCAGGATCGCTTATTGACAATCGCTTTTATAATTGGCGAGGATAATTGATTAAAATTAATCGGGAGCAATATCAGAGTTACGGTCTCACCTGCAATGAACTTCGTGCAGGTGTCGACGTGCGCATGCCAGGCCTCTGGATTAGCGGGACGTAACGGAAACACAAGAGAAAACAAAAAAAAATAATAAAGATATAAGATCGTGCAATCTTTCAATCTTAAATAACAATCAATGCACCAGTCACAAAATCACGCGCGCTAAAGTACAAGTTTCGATTAAGAGAGGTCAGTGTTAAAGAGAGAAAAAACAGGTTGCCTAAAAAGCGGCGGACAATGGCTACAATTTACAAACTGCGGGATCAACCCTTAAGTAACTCCGCGGGAGAAGAATTCGGATCGCGAAGGATTCGTTGCAAGAAGACACTTAGGTCCACAAATCGCAAGAGAAATCTTCAGATATGTCGAATTAGAATAAAAAAGTAAAAACCAAACGGAAACTTAAATTTCAATTTAAAAAGCTTCATGCACAAACACGAGATTGAACATTGCGAGATAGGACAGTTTCTAAGGTCCACACTCTAACTACCTATAAATATGAACTACCATAAATGTATGAAATCATTCGAACGCTTCTCAAAATTCTCGCGCATGTTGCGATTTTTCGCAAGCGCAGTCGTTTGCAGTTTCTTAAATCCAATAAATAAAAAAAATAACTTCATCACACCGAATCCTCCGTTTGAAAATAACATCCTTCGTGCCATCGACTTTCCATTAAAAAAAAAAATCACAGTCGAAGTCAAGCTCCTCGCGATTTCTCGTAGAAGAAGACTTAAGGGTCAATTGCCCAGCACCAACAAGAGAGAATAACAAGAACAACAACAACAATAAAGTTCTACAGCTAGATAAGGGAGGACGGAGCAACTACGTTGCAGCGTTGGCGGCGGGCTGCGAGACAGCTGCGCATCCTGTCGCATTCCCTCATTCCGGCATGGTGAATCTTACCCTCGCCGTGGTGCTCGCCGTGCACGTTCTCGCGCTCACGCTGACGACGCTCGACGCGAGGCTGGAGGCGAGCGACTCGCGCGAGCCGCTCCTCTTCTGGAGGCTGGCATTGAGAGCGGCGCCGCTCGGCTTGTGCACCACGCATATGGACGGCCTCTTGTTGGACGGCGACCTGCTGATCTTGTGCACGGGCGCAAACAGGCCGTACTTTGGGGCGCACTCGAAATATCTGGATCAATGGGTGGGTTAGTTCCGCGGGATCTCAAGGACGCGCGAGTCGCGAATGTATAAAGGGGGAGATTGTGCGCCTCGCAACGCATCCCGAAACACGTTTCGCGTGTTATTGGTCGAGCATTAAGCCGCGGGGAGCAGTGAGTTAAACGGGAAAACTTTGAAGATTCTGGAGATTATTGGGGACATCAGAAATACAAATTCCCCTTTGTCTTACGAAAATTACGAAAAATTAAAAATTAAAATCTTCTTTAGCAGTATTTCGAGACTCTAACGTCAAACAATGCATAAATCGATTCTGACACTTGATCGTAAACTTCAAGGATCTTTTAGATTTTAAATAATTCCGGCTGAAGGATTAAATTCATTAATGATACTGCTTAAAGAAATGCGATATGAACTCTGAGAAGAGGGGAATTTTTAACAAGCATGTAATATTTAAACGGAGTAATACACTCCTGTAATGTGAACGGCTCAAAAGTTTTTCCGGGAACGATTGAGAGCTTCACAGGATTGCTTTAAATGATCGATGCAAGTTTGATGATAATCTTTCTTTTCCTTCTTTTTTCTTTCTCTCTTGCATCAAGGTGCTACGGAGATTCAACGAGGAAGATGCACACCTTTTATCATTAACGGAGCCGTCATTCTTGCCGAGCGGCTCGTCCAGCTCGACGCCGCACCATTCGCCCCCAGCGAACTCCGTGGAGCCCTGATATCTGAGCACACCGGTTTTGCTGCCCTGGCTCGACGACACTATCACCCGCTCACCTATCCTCAGCTCGCCCCTCGGCGTGGTGGACGACAGGCTTGTCGTCGATGTATCTGCATTCACAGTTTTCAGCGATGCGCGATCATTATTACATACCACCATTCACACCGATTACCGGAACCAACGAGCGAGAATTGGGTCTACTCTATTAAAATGAAACTGTAACTACGTTTCTGATGGTCAAAAATTATATCCTTCTTCCTCTTTCGTCAAGTATCTACTATTAAAGCTAAACCTATATATAATCCATGTTACTACAAGTACATTTTTTCCTCGCCCTTCCCCCCCCCCCCATGTGTTTATTATACTTCTTTCCTTCTTTATTATCTTCCTTTAATATCTTCTTATTTTATCGTTATTATAATATATACTTTATACTTCCTTATTTCTTTATACTACTTAATCTTATTTTATTATTTTATTTTATTTTATTATTATTTATACTTCCTTATTTCATTTAGTTAAATCTTATGACTTTCTACAGGATAAAAATGTTAAAGTATTCCTTTTTATTGTACATGAAGAAAAATCTGCTTCTCTATAGTCTATAAAGAGAAACCTATAATCTATAAAGAGATAAAGAGGACAAATCATTTCCTACGGATATGTCAATTTATTCGGTGTATCTTCAATTGATAAACTTATTACTCTCGAGATTAGGAATAACTTCCTTTACTGTCTCTAAAAATATTAAATTTCTCTGTTGCTTTTATAAATAAATACGAACGTCTGTAGACAACGTTTGTTCGATATATCTTCTACTGATAAAAAAGCGCGTTACTCGCGAAATTAAATTATTATTATCAAAATTAAATTAAGTCTTAAATTACGTCACATCTCACACTGCATGCTGGCGAAACTAAATTATTTCCGTGCTACGTGCTGACTGAAAAGCTGAATTATTTTTTCTTTACATGGAATCGTGTTTACTTTCCACATTAAAGAGCGTTTCTTCAAGCACTATCGCATTGCCATAATTAAAATAATGCAAAGTAATTAAGAAAATAATTTGTGCTCATCAAGCCTCTAGGTACACACATAGCATCAACTACAATTAACTCTTTCACCTCACTTTTTCCATTATTTAATTTCGTCAAATGGTATATAATACTGATGTAATAAGTATATCATATCTAATCTCTTTAATAAAGTATTTCTTATCGCGATTATCATCCGGAGAAACATTCTCAGTAAAAGCTTTCAAATGTTACACGAAATTATATAAATCCAATGATAAATATAATCTACTTTAAAAAAGAATATATATCCTGCTTTAAAAAAAATCAATTAGAATGAAATTATTTCATTCTAATTATTTCATATTTAGCTATTTTCTATCGTTAGATATTCTCTTGCAGCGAGGGAGGCGAAAGGGCTAAGAAAAACTAAATGAAATCTGTAGACGGCACGGCGTTTGGCGTGTGCGTTCGGGTGCAGCTCTAATTAGAAGTCTATGGACGTGGCGAGTATCTCTTGTAGCGATCCTTACTCAATGACGACGACATGGATTTGCTGAGGAAGCCGCCCCTGCTGCTGTCGGGCGGCGTCATCGGCGACATGATAGCGCTCGTCTGATGATCGCTCAACGGCAACCTGGTGAGTCTGGTGAGCCTCGAGAAGATCCCTCTCTTCGTCTCGCATTGGAAGTATCGGCTACCCGCCACTGAACCGTCGTTCTTCCCTGCAGTTCAACGTTCTGAATCTGAGGTTCATCCTCATTCCTTCTCCAACTTTTTATCTCTCTCGTCTTTGTCGGTCAAAAAAACTTTCCTTCTCTCATTCGCGATATTAAGAGGACTTTTTGTGTTAATGAGACATCAGTTACAGTACAATTTGAATAATCTTGGCAATTAATTCGAGGAAAATTCATCACAAATGTTCTTAAGTTCGAGAAGTTTCGATTCGCATTCGAAGTCCTCGAAATTGATTCTTGATCTTAAAAATTCATTGACTAGGATCGTTGGCGGTGGTCCTTACCGATGGGCTCGTCCAAGACGACTCCTGCCCAGTCCCCAGGAGCGAATTTGGTCTCGCCGATATAAGCGATCGTGCCCGGTTTCGTGCCGCCAACCCATACTCGGTCCCCAATCTTAAAGCTGTCTGTGTCTTCGGTTAGGACGACGCTGGTGTCTACGCGAGATCGAAGAGAATTCTCTTTGAAATACATCGGCAACGCTAAGTTGAACGAATTCGACTTCAAATTTTCAGAAATAAAAAAATAAAATAAAAAACAAATCCCAGAACGCCGATTTAACAGCTTCTTTTAAAATATCTAAAATTATTTGCTAAATTACAAGAACCGTCTACTCTAAACCTGATTGAAGGTTCGAAGAATATTTAACTCCGGAACACAGATATCCTTAATACTACATCAAAATACGTATTACATTTACGAATTCGAATAAACGTGCAAATATTTTATTGTTACATTACGCATGCATATATAAAATATATGTAAAATACGATAAATATAATTATCTGATTAAAATAATATAAATATGATCTAACGCAAAGCAAAAGCGCCGTTAATATGAATACATGAATATAACGAACACTGTTACAATAATATTTACAAACTTACAGCTGTGCTAACGAAAGTTCATACGTATCCCTTATCATGGAGAGCTGTTTAATTCGAAATCATTTTCGTGTTTTACTAAAATCTAGTTCTGGAATACACATTGGTTTGCGTAACGTTTAAGTACATTTTAATTAAAAAATCTAAAACACTTTAAATCTCGAACATAAATAACAACTAATGGTTCGTACTAATTTCAAGTGTTATTAGTTCTGCAAAATTAGGTTTCCCGAAAAATCAGCTGTTTCTTGCGAACAGCTTTGCGAATCTTCGAATATTATATAGGCTTCAAGAAAAACTTAATTGAATGCGACTTACCTGCCCCTCTTCGCAAGCCAGCCTCGTTTATTTGACGGCCGTGCGATTCCCAAAGAGGCTCCATCTGATCTGCCGTTGTCATGCAAAATAACGTAAATCATAGCAAAAAAACGAAAAAAGGGGGAAGGGAAAATGGAGCGTACCTCAGTATGAAAAACGCTTTGCTTTGCCACAGCCGAGAGGTGGCATCATTTAATTAAAATTTCATCCAATCAGTTTAATTGGCAATTATCGCGTTAATGATAATTTGTGTATTACAAATCACTACGATTCAATGCAATTATAACAGCAAAATAACACTAGCCTACATAACAAGCTAATAAATTTCAACAATAATTAGACATTAAAATTAATATTAACTAATTTCAAATTAGTATGAATATAAATATGTCTAAATTAGTATTAGTAAATATGTCTTAATTAGTATTAAATATAATACAATTAATATACCTCTGATATTTATGATTTCGATCTAATAATTCAATGATTTTACACATACATCTCTATTTTATTTTAAATATTTGGTATAATATTTTTCAAGGCCAATTTGCGCGCCGATAATAAATTTGGGGACATCGGTGATGACATCGGTGCGAGGTTGCAAAGTTGATTATACAATGTGCTAAGTTAATTACTAATTATTATAAAGCGACGTTAAAGAGGAACGACGCGAAAGAGAGAGATATATATATATATATATATATGAGATTCGACGTGCATCGGATTGGGGCTCGGTCCTGTAATTGCCGTTGCAGATAATCGACATCGGAAGTCGATCACAATCGACTCAAGACAGAGAGTTATGTAAACGAATCGTTAATAGCAAGCCTGGGTGTGTCCAGATGACGCCGATAAGATCTGGCGATTTCTAGTGCAACGTGCAGTCATGCGAAATATTTTTTGAATGGCACGATCGTTTAATCGTATTGCGTTCCTTTAATAAATTAGAAAGAAAAGAAACGCCTTTCGGGTCTCAATATTCGTGATAAATTTATTTCGCTTTTATATTTCAGCTGTTCATGTTATATAAATAAGAATAATCCGTATTTTGAGAAAATATTCAATAGAACTTTTATAATTCACAAAACTCATTCATAAATTCCTTCTCCGACTTCCGCATCTATCTGTTCTCGTTTCACGGTTTGCATAAGAGTATTAGTATTTTTTTTTTTTAGCGACAAAGCTCATCGTTCACCTCGCCGATGTCCACGCGGCGAGGAAAAAAACTCCGCAAAAGGAGTCGCCGGTATGTCCGGGTATCGCGGCGATTCGCGATTTAATTAATTATACTTATGGAAAAGCGCGTGGGCGCGTGCCTTGTCGTAGTAGGTCGGTCGCGTGGGCCGGAGCCTCTGTTCGACGAGATGAAATCGCGATTACGCTGCCGCCGCCACCGCCGCCGTCGCCGTCGAGAGAGGCGTTATGTATCTCGGCGATTTTATCGCCTTGCAATCTGCATTTAATGCGCCTTTTTATACGCACGTCGTGTCGCTCTCAATGACGCGCGAACGGCCGTCCGTGCGATCGGCCGATCGACGACGATGCCCCGATCTCGAAACGTCAGATTTAAAAGATGCAATCAAGCGGAGGCGTTTGAGTCTTCATTTTGATCTCGCGATCTCATTAAAATGTTACGTCAAAATTTTTTAATAAAAAAATTGAAATTGAAATTAAAAACAAAAACAATTTAAAAGATAATACGAATACAAATGCTGAAAGAAGATAATAAAAAAAAGAGAAGGTGAATCTTGAGCTTCAATTAAACTAGAACGAGAAACTTCACCCTAAATTTTACGAAAAAAAAAAAAAAACCGTTTTTCTGGTATTAAAATTCAATCCGTTCGTCTCGCGAAATGCGATGCTGCGTACGATAATCTATGCGAAACCTTGCGCGATGACAGTGTATGATTATTAGAGCCATACGCGACGTGCACGATGATGTCCGATGACAGAATACACTGTGCTTTTTAATTCGAGCGTGTTGAGCCGTGGTTAATACACCAACGTGATCTGACGCGTATAATCGTGGCGCCGCTATTCGTTCGCGAGTGTCTGCGAATTTATGCATCTTACATGATTAATGGCTCTTACATCAATTCTTACACACATATCTTGCATTATATTCTTCTTTTACATCATCACTAATTAATTACGTGAATTTCATTTAATGAATATAATTGTTTTAAAAGTAACAGATCTCAAAATCTCCCGCAAACTCATCAACTCACAACTAGATTCTTATAATACACTGTTAAATATTATAGAAACAGCTGTAACTCCTTGAATAACATTTCGTTATTTTCAACTTCCATGTGTGTCGAAATATATTATTTTAACACAAGAGATATGGTTAAAGAAACAATCATATCTAATCAACTCATTTTTGTGATTAAATTGCATATATTAACTATGCGTTTAATAAAACATAAACTTTGAGTCAAATTTAATACATTTCTCAAGTTCAATTGTTTAACTCCATTGTTTTAAATTAAAATTAAACTAACGACATATTAAGATAATTTATAGAAATAACTAAAAATAACTCAAATTGAGTATAATTTGACACTATATGAATTTAACAGTATATATATATATATATATATATATATATATGTATAAAGATAATGTTATTTTTACAATATAGGCATGCTGGAAATTTCATAAAAATTCTTACAACATTCTTTTATAACGTCGAAGAAAGTCGTAAACATTGCAGTCATGTAACGTATCAAAATCATTTAGTTTTATATGAAAAAAATTATCTTTGAAAATTTCAGTGAAAAATTTTGGATAAAATAAAAACGAAAATGTTCGATAGTCTAAATCGAATTTTTAACGGATATCGTCAAATTGTTTTATCTCATTGATTATCCACGTTTCGCGAGGTTAATAGGGTGTCAAGTACCCCCGATCATTCGATACGACACGGCTGTAAAAATGGCTACAGAGGTTGCCCGTTGGATACACGGGCACTTTGATCCCTCATGCGTAACAACAACGTAAACAAGGTTAATAGCTGAGCAGAGAGGTGTTATAGCTGTTACATGTAATTCATCTCGCGTTTATAACGAGATCGTGACGTGGCGAATGTGATTAAGCGCTGCAGTAGTAAACGCTATAATATGCCGATAATTATAGCTATTAGCGATGTTTTTATCCGCCCGACTGCGAGAACATTGTAGAGGTGAACTAATAAGTAAAACTGAAACTAATTGGAAAAAAATATAATTGTGTACTCTATAATCTATACATTCACGGATATAGAACAAGTAAAATGCGACGCACTCGAGCTAACGCGTTACGTTACGTGCTACCATTCGTCGGAGACACCAAACGTATGTACACGTTTGCCCACGGTTTTTCATATTTACCGAAGCCTAATAGCGGACTTTCGTCAGGCCGCGGAATTCGAATGGACGGCCTTAAAACCGGCTTTGAATCGGCGTCCTCCGTATAATGTATGTACAAACCGGCAAACGGCAAAGCGGCCCGAAACGAACGTAGTCCCGCACGCGCGCTCATAAACCGTTTATCTCTCCATATTTAGCTGATGGTGTCGCACAGTTACCGCAGAACACCATGCCGGCGACGATTGCGTCAGAGGCGTCAGAGCAGGGGAGGCGCCACCGCGCAGAAAACCTTTACCTTTCAGTTTACCTTCGCGGTTAATTGAGTCCTTGTCGAAAAGAGAAAAATCAGCTAATCGGACGCGAGCGACTGGAAAATCGGTAACGCTCTATACCGCAAACCGCGCAATCGACAGAGTATTCAATTATTATAATTTTTAATGACTGGACTGTAGTCCAAAAATATCATTATAATCAAGAAGTACTATTGTTTTTCTGTTTCAATATATCGTTAATATTACGCAGACATCTCTCATTATAATTATATTTGAAAAATTTACATTCTTTCTACGAATTATTCTAAAAATACAGCTGACAATCCGTTTAAGTTATCCAAACCAGTTTTCTCCGTTAATTTACATGCTTCATTAATTTGCCGAATTTTAGAAAATTCATGTAATTTTAATTTTTCGACATTCGAGGCGCTTCTTTTTAATTAAAAAAAATTTTTTTTAGTATAAATATTGGCGATTCCTTGCGACAGCGTGAAACGAAAAGCGGAGGCCTTGAGACATCCGATCGAATTGCGAAACTGAAGACGATCGACTCGAGGATCTTGCGCGCAAGAATCAAAAAAGCGGGAAGGAAAAGGGAGCAAGAAAAAATAAAAATAAAAATCGGAGAAAAAAGAAGGACTCGGGGAGGGAAGACGAAACCCGGCCGGGATGAAGTCGCGGGCGCGAGATAAACACACCGATGGCTTGCATAATCGCAATGCGTCAGCCGACGACGTGCGATTGTGCAGCGAAGGCAATTCAATGGCGTTGCACCAATAAGGCAAGATACATGCCCTGGATGCGGCCAGTGGTGATCGCGAAAACGCACCTCGCCCGTTATGCATCGCCGAGAGGCGCGCCGGGATCTGCGCGGCAGAAAAATAAAGCGACACAAAAATCTGTTCTCCGCAGTGTCTTATATATTCGCTTGCGTACTGCGCAGAATAAAATTGTTATACAAAGGGGAAATCTGTGAGAGAAGAAAGAAGGAAAAGGAATGGATAAAGTAATAACGAAGAAAATAAGAAAAATTCGAACTTTAAAAGAGAAGAAGAATAATGAAGAGAAAATGAGAATTCAGATTTTAAGGGAAAATAAAGTAAATGAGAACGGTAAACTAAAAATTAAAATTGTGAATAAATAGAAATTTACGACGTGAGGAAAAATCGATTAATCACATGATCGAAGAAAAGATTATTTATTAATTAAAGTTAAAAGTTAGTATAAGAATAATGTTACAACATAAATTTTCACGGCGATAAATTTTCTATAAATTATTAATTATAATAATTATTAACAAGCGTTTATGTGTGTGTGTGTTATATATTTTATTTTCATTTAACATGCGATGGTGAATATTAAACATTTATAAGTTAACTAAAATGTTAAACATAAAATATTACGCCTATTACGTTGAGATCGCTGTTCTTGAGAAATTTGCTTTAATTTCCAAATATTATCTGCTAATTAGTTTCTGCGACGGACGACGTTCTTGATCGCTCCGCAGTTACTTTTACTTTTCGAAAAGCAGCTTATCATTTAAAAAACGTCCCAAGCGTAAAAAAAAAATACGGATCACTCTCGATTAATCGCGATAAGTCAAGTCGATCGGCATTCGCAAATGAAGGACAGCGACATTTAAACCGCAACAATCAATTAAGTTGAATTAAATGGCATTATAAAATGAAGTAACAAAATTTAAAATAATTTAAATGAATTAAATCAAGTAACTGATTACCGAACAGTTCGCTCCGAAGGGTCTTCGACGTCAGTCAGACTCACCGACAATTTACTCTTTCGGCGCAAAGCAGAGAAATATTTCTTTCTATCTGTTCTTCTTTTATAAGGAGAAAAGCAAGCACTACTCGCGACAAGGCTCACTCACCATTAATCCCCGAGAATTTCTTGTGTGAAAAATATTTACCAGTTTCTCCTTCTCTCTCTTTTCCACTCTTTCTCTCTTTCTCGCAAGGGATGCGTCGCCGCGAACGGTCGAGGAACGACTCGCGCGAGCAACTCGCGAGCGGACCCTCGCGCGTTCACGCTCGTCCACGACCGACCGACGTGACGTGGGCGTGCACGGTGTTCCCGATGTGCCGGCACGAATTAACGAAGACACTCGCTATACATATCCTAATCGTAATAACGTTCGTAATACAATGTAAAGGTCCATCTACAATGAGAGTAGTAAATCATAAGCCGTATAAGAAACTGACCAATTACAGTCGAATATGAGAAGAATAATTGACTGTGATTGATTAATTTCTTACGAATTACTACTCTCATTGTAGATTGATCTTAAGTGTCGGTCCACAGTAAGGATTTTAACCCCTAAGCAGTAAGAAATAGACCAATCGTAGTCGAATATGAGGAAAATAATTGATTGCAATTGGCCAATATCCTACGGTGTAAGGCTTGAAAGCCTTATCGTGGACCGACACTAATACTCTCGTCAAAACATACTCTACATAAAGACTTTTATAGCACGAGTAAATTAGCATTACGATAAGAAAGATGAACGTTGATGGCGTAAATAAAGGTTTACTTGTCGCTTCATTTATCACCTAAATTATCTATTAATTTCCTGTACCTATTACAATTCCTGCGTACGAGACGAATGACAATGGATCTCTCTTTCGTGTGTAATAAAGTAACCACGGATTGAAGATACTTCTGGCAAGACTCCGCCTATCTATCGGCATTCGTATATGAATTATAAACGAAATTAAAAGGAACTTAAAAATTTCTGAGACATTATTATTATTATTGTTCTATACAGGTAAGAGAGAGTATTTAAATATTATAAATAGCAAGTATACACATTTATTAATGTAGATACACGATCTATTTTTTCTATCTAACACAGGGTATGTACTTCACTTTATGTCTCTATCAATATCAGATATCTATAAATATCATATTTGGTACAAAAATGGATAACAAGTACAACATACGAGTGAAAGATAACGATATAAAAATATCTACGCATGCAATAAAAAGGAACGGCGCACAACTTTGTCAAAGACTCACTGGTCGTTGGTCTCATCGGAGAGGGTGGGATCGCTGGTCTGGGAGGCATGGTGGAGCAAGGTCGGCCTATCTTCGACGGCGGTCTCAGTCCTGATGGTTTTGGCTCCGTCATGCTTATATTCACTGTTACACTGCACTGCAACAAAAATATTATGCATCGTTAGTAAAAAAAAAAGTATATGTAAAAAAAGGCAAAAATACCAAAAGAGAAATACCAATTTGATAAGCATAGAGATATATGAAAGAAAAAATAACATAAAGAGAACTCTGGAGTATAAAATAAATTTCTTTTATTTGCATTTCGTTGGCATTTTTACAACTACGTTTTGAACTAAGATAAGTGAAGAACGTTAATTGCTACAGCTGGTCTTCAAGTTGGAATGAAATCGAACTCAGATAAGCGTGATGAAAAGAAAAATTTGAAGAAATTCGATTAAATTAAATTCTTGCAAAATTTAAAGCTTCACAAAAATAGCCAATTCAAAAATTTACAATTTCGCTAATCGGAACCGTGTCGTCGTGGCTCAATTTCTCATGTTCTCTCGGGCGAGATCGCGAGAGTCGCGCGAGCGAACGCGAAAGCGAGTGCTCGCGAGTGATGCATTTATAGTACTCGCGAATACGCGAGTATCAGCGTGTACTCGCAAACGCAACTGTCAGATCGGCGAGCGCGTCGCGCACGACAACACGCGCGGGCAACGACGGGGCAAGGAGCGAAAGAGCGACTCCAGAGTCCAGACTCCAATTTGGACGAGTTAACCTCAAAAGCGCGCGACGGGTTCGCACCCGCGGAACACGAGAATACGCGGTCTCACCTGAGCGACAAATGCTGTCCGGGATAATCCGCAGGATCGACAGCTAACGCATTTTACGCGCGACAATCGCGAGGATCGCAGTAAACGAGCGCGAACGTAAGATTCCGTCGTCCGACCGCACCTGCGGAATTTGACAACTATCGCAAGTGTCGCAAAAGTCGCAACCGTCCGTCGCGAGTACTCAGACCCGCCAACGCGTTGGCGCGATGTGTCCCTAGGTAAGTCCGAGTCCACCGAAAGTCCCCAACGTCGTCATCATACGTTTGTTTATCATAAATATCATAATATTTGACAGAGTTGGATAAGTTAATTTTTTTTTTAAACTAAATTAAGTTAAAGTTAATGACTTACAAAATTAATTTAGTTAAGTTAAAAGTTCCATGAACGAAAAACTAACTCATTTAAAACTTGCGTTAAGATTTAATTAACTAATTAAAGTTAAACTGAAAGTTAATTTTGAAAAACATCATTTATATATGTATATCAAATTAAAATGTTATTTGAAAAGAATAACAACAAAAATTACTGAAAATAAAAACAAAATTACAATATAAATCAAATCAATTTAATATTTTATTTATATAAAATAAGTTTATACATATGAAATAATTTATTTATATTAACGAAATATTTATAAAAATGTTTTTTTCTTTTAAATAGGTAAATTTTTAATTTAGAAAAAAGTTAATAAGTTAAAGTTTATATATATTTAAAAATAACTAGTTGAAGTTAATACTTAACTCGTTTAAAATTAACTACAAGTTAAAAGTTATTAATTATTTAACTTTATTATTTAACTTTTAACCTCTTAACTAGATACCACCCAATCTTAGGATATTTGATTATACGTTATGATTGTATTATTATATCGTTAATTTTTTATATTGTTGTTAATCCGCTGTTGTTTAATTTGCAATAATCGCGTAATCTTCCACTTTTGGCGTGTCAACACTGAAACACTTCACATTCTAGTACTTATCGTTTATCGTACCAATCGCGAATCGCGAATCTCTCGTTTTCTCTCTACTCAAGTTCGACTTATCGAATGTTCATTTGCAGGTTATGTTCGCGCAGAATTGGCGCCAATTCGTGTTTACGTCCGATCGACCAAGTCCGAGTGACATCCAATCTATGTCAGACTGACGTGACAGTTCTTCAATTTTCTGAGTGAACCCGGTGCCCGAACGAGTCGCGGGCTGTCGTTCGTAACGTTAAGAATCAGCGAGTGCCTGCCATTCCGCGAAACGACAATGGTCCGACGAAAACCTGTGCCGAGGTTATTTCTCGTTTCTACTATAATTTCCATACTTCTTGCTCTTTACATTTTGTTTATTGTAGGATAATTATAGTCATGTCTACTATTTTATCCACCGTTGACCAAACTTTTTTAGTAAATTAATTAATATTTATTATTAAAAAAAAGTCGTTAATACTGTCACTTAATTATATATTTCGTATTTCTGCAATTATTTGTGTAACATTCCGTTAATATATTATTCATTAATCATTTTTATAATCATTTAGCGTGATTTGATTGTATCAATTTTTGATCTGACTTTATTTCTGTAAAATCTATATATATATAATTAGCTTATGAAATATACTATATTTCAGGTCGTCTTCTGCCAAAACGAGAAAAGACAAAGAAGACAAAGTAAGCGACACTAGATTAACTACATCCAAATTTATATAAATTGAACACTATAAATTTTATACATGAAATAAATCGTGTTGTGTGTATATATATATATGTATATGTATATATATCACGGCATTGCTGCAATAGTGTCATATCTGGAAAAATGACAATTTTGAGTTATTAGAAAAAATGAATTTTGGCGTATACTTTTATCTGGTGATAAATAACTTAAAATTGTCAATTTTCGGGATATGACACTATTGCAGCAATGCCACGATATATATACACACACATTTATATGTAATAATTCTATTAAACTGTTGTTCTCTATGTTGTTAATTTTATACAATTACTCCTTAGACAACTGTAATAGTGGCTAGAAAGAAAAGAAAGAACCACGTGCTGCAGGAAATTAGAAGTTTAAGGAGAACCACAGGCTTTCTCATACCTAAACTAGTTTTCGCGCGTTTAGTCAGAGAAATTATACTCGACATATTCCCCAGAGAAGACATTACCAGGTATAAATGTAATGCTATTCTATATATGTTAGAAAGATTATCCAACCGCAGGTTCTTCATCAACTATATGACATTAATTATACAATCATTTTTAAGATTGTGTGGTCGTTTAATTAAAAAAAAGAGCAGTGTTATATATATATATATATATATATATATATATATATGAAAATGGTTTATGTATAAAAAATCATGAAACATAAAAATCAGTACTTTATTACACAAATACAGAAAAATTTTCACGAGATATTTTTTCTTTTTTTTTTTTGAACAATTTCAATAATAACATAACATGTTGTTTATTTAATTGAAAATAAAATTATTAGAATTTTAAAGTAAAAAAATTATGAAAACAAGTTATGAGTCTCAATGGGATCCTTGAAGCAATAGGTTAGGAATTGAGTAAAATTAATTTGTAGGATACAAGCCACTGCTCTCGAAGCCCTGCAAGAAGCAACAGAGATGTACGTCGTGCAATTCTTCGAAGATTCAGTATTGCTGGCATACCACGCTAAACGAGTCACTCTTATGCGAAACGATATGATTTTAATGCGCAGATTGAGGGGTCGCGATGACATCATTAACAGATAAGAATTTCACTTCGTATAAGTTCAGATCAATTTTAAGTACTTCAAAATAAAACGAATTCTTTCACTTTTTTTTTATTCTGGCTCTAGAAAATGGGCAACAAAAGATATCTATCTCTCTTGTATATGATGTTAATACAATTTATGAACAATGACGAAAAGAGATATATAGAATAAAACTGACCATATTAGGCTTAGTGCTTAATTATGCTTAATTTAAAATCGACACTTGAAATACAAAATATGTTATATTTAATGGAAGACTCAGGAATACGCGATCAGATAGCAATCTTATCGCACTTTTTAAGACAATCAAAATCCAAACAATATTGTAAAAAAGATATAGTTATAAAACTTGTGAAGTATTAATGCCCAATGCATATTTATCACTTTGTGTAAATTTTGTTGCGTATTGATGTGTGATAAATATTGCGAAGTTACTGAATCATCATGTATCCATCATTTTTATAAATCACACGTTTAATATATTTTTTTAAAAACGGACAGAGAAAATACAATTTTTTCGCCTTTTTTCCCTTAAAGTACTGAAAGAGGACTGAAGATAAGCGATCTTGTCTCGCTAAATAAAATTTATTTCTGAGAAACATTTCAAACATTTCGATAAAATTCGTAACTTTATGAAACTTTGGTAAAATATACAGTTTTACGATAATCAGGCGGATCTCTTAAACTACAAATATCGAAGCGTTGCCGTTTCAACTCCCGACGAGAGCGTATCGGCAATTGGTACAATAAAAACAGTGTTAAATAGTAAAATATCGCGCGACCTGGAAAACAGTCACGCTGTGTACCGAGTGTTCGGTTTTCACGATCTCTACGACGATATTCCTTATTAAAAGTCAATACAGTTCTTTTTTCATGATAAAAATATACACGAATCATCGATCCGAAAAACATCGGAATTTTAAAGTTAGAGAAGACAGAAGTCGTGTAAAATTTCTTTGACTAATTTTAGGTTCCATCTCAATGGAATCTAGGCACAGTTTACTTGATATAATTATCAAGATATTTAACTCTAAGATACTACAAGAAAAAATATGTAGCGTTTGATTAAATATTGGGGAGGGGGGGAAAGTCATTCTTTTCAGTTTCAATATACAGACATATGTAAGAAGAGATATCGCCACACCGCGAATACCGAACGCCCCATACAATCATGTATAAATGTGTTTTCGGTGTTAGCTGCAATAAGAACAACCATAACTCGTGACTCACGCGAGCCACATGCGCGTCTCTTTGAAACGCGGTCTAAGAGTAAAGAACTGCCTAGAAAAATAGTATTACAAATAACGACTTAGCCGCCTCACGAGCTTCACGATTCGTTCGCGTTTCTATACATATACAATATACATATATGATGTATACGAGATACAATTCATTCACGAAAGAAAATACATTACAAAAAAAGGCACCTGGAAAAGCAGGCTAATTACTCGCGTAAGCGCCGAGTCAAGTCTCGGGGCTTCTACGAAGACACTTCTCGCCGTGTCTTTAGGCACAACATATTTCGCTATTATATATACTTTCATGCTGCCTGTCATTGTACATGAAGCGAATCACAAAGTTCGGATTACACCTTCGCGTCGCGAAATTAAATACACGAAATACAGGAATCACCGACTGCTGAATATTTTCGTATGCAACGGTCTTGAAAGACTTTTTTCTTCGAACAACGTATAAAAGACACTTAAATAGTTTGCACGGCCGAATTTTCTTTTAATTTTTTTTTTTTCTTAAATGCGTCCTTTTGGGTCTTTAAGCTACAATTTATTTAATAATTGTAAAGACATTTAATACATCTTGATCACTCATACTTTTTATAAATGTTTCCTACTCTCACTCTCGGGATCTACAATTTTTTTGAGAAATCCTAAAACCATCGAAACGATTTTTTCTGATCTTTCGTCTATGGTTTCAAACACATTTTAGATATAAAATATTTCAGATGATCATAGAATATCTCAATATTTAATTATCTCGTAATTCGATTGGCTTCCACGGCGTCTTTTAAACTTGGACTTATTTGTGTTTTACGCGCCTCACACTTTGCGGAATTAAATAACAAGAAGTCTCGTTGCTTCACTTTTTCATGAACGACCGCACCTTGTTCACGCACTTGTCCATGAAGTTCCGCTTGCGCTTAGGCTCCGCGCCCGTCGGCAGCGATAACAGCGAGCCCGGTCCCTTCGCGCGGGCTTTGTGCCCGCTGTACTCGCTCGAGACGCTCCCGTCGGAGTCCAGTCCCGCACCACAGCTTCTCGATGCCTTCAGCATCGTCGATCTGTCGTCGTCGTCATAGTTGTCGTTCTCGTTGCCGCCCTGTGTCACCATCAATCTGTCCTGCGCAGTCTTCCTGGTCCTCTGCTCTTCCGTCAGATGCTCCTGTTCGGTGCATTGTCGACTGGAACACGTCGAGGACTGTCCCTCCGAGCTGGAACGTCGGCTCGGCTTCGGAGGACGCGTCGGCGGAGCCCCCTTGTCATTCTCATCTTTGTCCAAGGACGTTCGCATGTCCTCCGTCTCGGATTTAAATTCGTCGGGCATCTTCGGCTTCGTCCTGGGAACCGGCCTGGGTTCCTCCTCGGATCCGGCAGCCTCGGCCGCCGAATCAGGCTTCTTCTGGCTTTCCTCTGGAGCGGGTACGACTTCAATCTCTCCCGAACTCGTCGGGAGGCATTCCCGACTCTTCTCACGCTGCACCTTGTCCTGCTCTTCGCCGTTCTTCGCGTCCTCATCCAACAGACCGTCCAGGCTGCGCGACCTTGGCCTAGGAAGCGGTGGTCGTTGGACGACCGCGGAAGAGACCGACTTCCGCTCCTGGTGGTCCTGTTGGTCCAGCAGCTCCAGCGAGCGGGATCGCGTGGACGGTGAGGGTGGCTGCCGTGGCGGCCTGTGAGGCACCGCCAGGTTGTTACTGGCACCCACCGGATGCGTATACATGAACTTGAAGCGCGGCGACGTGGGCGGCATGCCCATCAACCAACGGGATGGACTCGACGACTTTCTAAGTCTAGAACGCAGAAAATAGAACTGATTGCAAAACCGTGACTCAACGAGAGATGCATTTCTCGTTCATCTTCTTCGGTGTTAGACAAAACGAGATGCAGATTTTCGTAACTTTCCGTTTACATATCTTCAATCAAAACAAAATTTGTCGCAAATATTAAAACTACATTTTAGAAAAACTTATCAATTTTAGGAATAAATATTTTAATTTTGAATTGTTACTGAATTTCATTATATAGAATCTATTATATTTTGATGTATCGCATCGTTTGAGAAATTGATATTTATTATATTTATTTTGTGTTCCAAATTCCAAAATTTCGAATTTGTCATTTTCTAACACCGAAGGCACGACACAATTATATCATGCAGTTTTTATCATTTTACACCAATAAATATAAATATAAATGTGCATAGGTACTATGTATATAAACATTGATGTCTATGTGTAGAAAATTAAAGTTAAAGTATTTACCAGTATATACATTTTCACGAAACTCTCGTTAATAAAAAAAATCATCAAAAAATTTACGTTAAAAATTAAAAAGTCAAATTTATTTAATTCATTTTTATTATATTGATTTTCATCAATTTATTATCTATTAGTTAAAAAACTGAATTTGAAGGAATAATTTATTCTACACACAGACTATGTAATAAACATTTGACATCTACATATAAGACAAAAATCTAAAATAGCTTCACCTTTTAAACTATACGTCTACTACAGCACAAGCACATACATATATCTACGTGTAATACATAATGGAACTGAAAGTGCAATCAACGGGATTCAGAGATTAATTCAATACAAGGATTTGGCAAAAGCGATGAGATTGACACCGTTTAAACATCGATAAAGAATTTGTATCGCTGACTGACCTAGTCGTGATTGTCATAGAGCGATTCACAATCTCGGCTGTGTGAAAACAGAAATTAGCGTTGCGTTAGTAGAGCTCGCTTCAACGTCCCGTCATAAATCGATTCGTTAGCGGCCAGTAATAAAGAACTTATTGACTTTTAATGACTCAAATCATTTTAAAGATTCTCAGTACTACCTGAAATCGTCACTAATTAGGCATATTCTCTTTCGGAGAATTTTTAAGAAATCTGAATTATTAAAAGATTTTCGGTCCACAGCAATTAATCCAGTTTATTTATTAAATTCTTTGTTATATATTCATCAAACTTTCTTTGTTATTTAATTATTTTTAATAAAATTATTCCAAATTGTTGATAAACACTTTTATCCATAGTTGATCTAATATCAGATCATCTCAGTATCTAAATCGAGATGGTTGGTTCTTGGTACTGGGGTGCTAATAGATTCTGCAAATTTTAGATTTTTTTTTTTCCTGGACATTGACGAATCGATTCGCTCATCAACCCAATGCTAGAGTTATATGCCAAATTATCAGGGATAACTACCTGCTCGATATGGCTGTGGGCGGGCCGTCTAGTCAGTCTCGCCCGCCCGTGGAATCCTTGTCGCTGCCCCTGCTTTCGTTGCTGTGCATTCGCTGATAGCTGGGCGGCTGTCGCATATTCGTGTTACCCGGTGTGCTCGGTTGGGCCACGTCCTTGGGTGCCATGCTGCGCGGAATTCCGCCGGACATATCAGATCTCATAGGTATCTCGCCTCGCATAAACCTGCACAGTTATGAGAAGCAAACATCGAAAAGCGCTATCTTAATAATTAATTGTCGTACCTTTTAAAACACACTTGTATTATGTTATTATTGAAATAAAATAATTTAATAATTTATGAAATGATTATTATAACAATTATTTTATTTCATATGAGAGACATAATTGTATTGTAATAAAATCTCAGAAAACGATTGGTAGATATTTCAGCAATTAAGTCGTACCAAAAAATATAATTGCCTTCTTTTTCGTTTTAAACTATGCACTTTTTAATCAAAGACGCAGAAAGGGAATTTAATAAGAAGACCGATTGCTCTACCTTTCTAATTTGTCTACGCAAGCGTCTTGATAGTCATGAATCCAGCGGACACCGTTAAAGTGGCAGACCGCTCGCATGTCTTCAGGAAGTTCCTCAGGTTCCGGCCATTGAAAGTTGTCGATAATCGGGATTATATTACATTGTGATTGCAGCGCGGCAACGATCTCCTATAAAATAATTGAAAGCGCGAAATGAGACACTGAATCTCGCAAAAAATCAAATTTTTTTTAAAACACCTAATACTCAATTCTTGAATATTTCCATCTTTTTAGAAGAAAAAAAAGAAACTGTTTAATGAAAGATCTCTTTTATTTTTCGAAATAATATGCATATCCAGAGACTCACTCTGTGTACCCAATCCTTGCACTCGCTGTCCTGTATACACCTCTCCAAAGCCTGGGGCGTGAGTACGAGGAGGAAGTGTTTGGCCTGCCTGATGCTCTGCAACAGGTTGTTGTCGAACTTGCCGGCCTCGAGCCTCTCGACGTCGATGAACACCGAGAAGCCGCGCAGCTGCAGATGCACCTTCAGCAGACTCGCCAGCTGCGAGCCGTTCGATCTGCGGTAACTGACGAAGACGTCGAGGGACTTGTCGGGCGACTCGTACTCGCACGAGCTGAACTGATTGTGCTGCATGTTCTTGATGGCGTCGAGTATCCTGAGCCGATGGATGCTGTTGTTGATGCCGCACTCGGACAGCAGCTGATCCTCCGAGAGATTGCGTATCGAGTCCTTGTCCACGCCGGCGTTCAGCATGCTGTACGTGTAGATGGAGAACTCCTGGCCGATCGACTGCAGGAAGCTGTTCAAATTGCCGGTGTCGCGACTGCTGTAATCGGCCATCTTCTTCAGATTCTGCAGCTCGCGGGCGAATCTGCGGCGCATGATACCATTGGTCAGGCCGATATCCTCGCGCAGATTCTCCTCCGTCAGCTGCAGCAGGAGGTCACCGTCGACTCGGCTTTCCACGAAATTCGGTGCCACCTCGGCGAAGCCGATCTGCTTCACCCACTCGCGGACGTCCTCGGTGGACCACAGGGGCACCTGTTGGCTGAGTTTATGCGGAATTTCCTCGCCGATCAATCTTAAAGCTTGCGCCGCGTACTTGGACGCGATCGCGTTCGGGCAGCTGGCTACCTTCTTCAACGGCTCGATCGCGCCGATCGTCCGGAAGATATCGGTGTTGCCCTGTTGCTTCTTGATGCCCGCCTCCATGCAGAAGTGGAAGGCCGCCAGATTGCGAGCCTCCTCGCGCTTTGAGCTCAGGACCGGCACGAGCCTCTCCAGCCAATTCTTACTCTGGCCGTGTGCGTGCGCCAGATTCGACTTGGCGAACTCGTAAGGATTGTGCGACGTGACGAAGGGCTCGACTAGGTCGAGGGTGCCGGACTTGAGAACGGCCGCCTCGATCTCCTTGTTGGCGACCAGCACAGCGATCGCCAGGCAGGCGTAATACTTGATATTGTCGTCGTTGTGAAAGGCGAGCGGGAACAACCACATCGGCACCTTGCGCTTGATCATCGCCTCCTGGTTCTCGGCGCCGCCGTACAGCGACAGGTTCGCCAGCGCGCCCGCACAGTGGCGCAGAGTCTCCACGTCGTTCTTCCGGCACTCGAACAGCACCGCGTCCAAGCCACCCAGCCTGATCACGTCGCTGCAGGTGCCCTCGCTGTGCTTGAACAGGTGCTCGAGTATCCCGGTGCCGACGCGCGCGTGATCCACCGAGTTGGCGTTCTTCGTGCACACGCACGCCACGTTCACCACCTTCTCCAGACCGTTCTCCACCACGTGGGCGCGGTTCTCCGTGGTCAGGCATTGCTCCAGCAATCGGGCCGACGAGAACTGCAGCTCGTGATCGTTCGCCACGCAGTTCGACATGAGCAGATCGAGACCGCCGCGCGTCCTCAGGGTGTTGCACAGGGTGTAGCCCAGCTCGTGGCCGTGCGTAGGCACCGCCCAAGCCTTCCGAATGATCTCGTTCACTCTGTTCAACAGCTGCGGCGCTTTGCTGCCGCTGCCGCTGCTCTTGCCGCTGTCGGCGCTCGCCTTCAGCCGCTCCACAAAGCTGTCGAGCAGACCGCAATACTTGGCGATCGCGCAGTCCACGTCCTGCGGATTCGATTTGGAGCACAGCAGGTCCAGGTCGTCCAACGGCAAGGACAGCAGCTCGTCCTCGGCCGTCGGCGGCCGCATGCCGTTCATCAGCTGATTAACCGCGCTCGCCGCGCTGATCATCGATTTGGATGAGCTCACGCCCGACTTGGACGCGATCGTGATGCTCGACTGCGAGCTCGAGGCCATGTGCTTCTCGTGGTTGAAGATGCCGGTCGAGGTGACTGTCTGCCGTTGCTGTTGCGCCGCCATCGCTTTCTGCGAAGAACAAAAATACTTCTCTTAATGCCTGTCAATCATTTTTGAAATCTTGAGAAAGTTCGAGAAGAATATATCGCTAGAGACGTGCAACTATTCAAATACGAATTGAATCGAATCAGGTAAGATTCAAAAAATTTTGATTCATACACGCCTAGATGCCAAGAAGGTCTTTAAGATCAAAGTCGAGGACATGATTGTCAAGTTTAACCAAGCATTGTGAACGTTGCTTGTCGATGAACGGAATAGAAGTACTCCAAAGGTTGTTCTTTTGAATAATCTTCATAATGTTAGCGTGATAAAATATAGTGATGAAAAGTGGAAAATGTTATCGAGAATATTGATAAGATTTCTCATTTCAATATCGTTAATTTAAAAAGCATCAGAAAGTAGCAAGTAAGATGCATCAAAAGCATCAGAACTTATTAATATTTCTAGATAGTTATGCCATGCGAATATTCGATGAAATTTATAAATTTAAATGTCCATTTTTAAAAACATAGAAGGATAATTGTAAATGGGAAAAATATGAATAAAAAATAAAATACACTTCAATCAGAACGACAAAGAAATTTGTCCATTAAATTAAGCGATATTAGAAACTTTTAAAACGCGAGTTCAAGTTTTTACTCAACAAGCGAAAACTTTTTTTCTATTTTAAATAAAATTAAATTTTGTAATTCTAACAGCGTTCTTTTATTTCTTTCAAAATAAATTTTTGAATAAAATGATATTATTGGCTTCTTCAATTCTAATGAAAACTTTACACTTTATTTACCATTCGCGAGTCGAGGCTGCACTTCCTTAGCATCATCCCGAGCGAGTGTGCGAATACGATTTTGACGCTTTACGCCTCTCACGAGCTTCTCGAATCACGCGAATCCACTTTTCGACTGGGGACCGATCGCGAGCTCGCCGGCGTTTAAATCACCGCTCGTTGCATCGCGCGGGTGCAGAAGATAACGACGCGACCTCGCGTGCCAAAATGCGGCGCAGCCGCCGATCACGATTCTAACAACGTCGTTAAGGACGGCGATTTACGATTTGGACTGTCGGTAAGCGGACGTTTTAACGCGCGTTCCTTGGTGGACCGCCAGAAGCGCAATTAAGTGTAAGCCGGAAAAATAACACCTCCTGTTTTTCCGCAAAGTGATTCAGCACAATCATATTCGATCGGCCGAGGAAAGTTTTATTAAGTTTTCCATGTTCTCCCAAAGTTGTCACAAGAGAAAATAAACAGTGTTCAACTTACCTTTTCGGACGTAAAAGAGTCGCTCTGAAGCTTCATTGTGGACGCCGCCATGTTGTTACTCTCCTGATGCGAGAGATCGCCGGCCTTCAAGCTTCTCTGCTCCTGAAGAAAAAGAAGTACACACTCGATATATTTCACTTATTTCGTCGCAAACTTATTTTTTTAATTAAAATTGTAAAGTCGTTCTTCCATGAAATCATGCAACTACAGCTAAAAGGATTTTTTTATATTCATTCCTTCTGTTTCTGCATGAGAAGTCATTATCTTACCAACTACCTATATCATGATTTTTATCGAACACTTGCATCACTCTTCAACGTATTATGTATCACGCCAGAAAATCGCATTTTTTAATCTAAACTGTAAAAAATCTAAATTGTCGCTCTTCCATGAAATCACGCAACTAGCCAAAAGGATTTTTTTATATTCATGCACTTTTGTTTCTGCACGAGAAACAAATTATCTTTTACCTATCAATTACCTATACTATAATTTTTGTCAAACACTTGCATCTCTCCAACTCTTCAATGTATTATCACGCCAGAAAAATCAGTGCTTGTTATGGAATAATTATCATCTACTATCAGCAAATCAGAAGAAGCATCGCTTTGCAATTAACCTTTAAACCACCACGCCCAAAAAAATCACACTAACCACAATGTCGGTCTGACAGACCGCTATTATGCTCTCGCTAATTTCATAAGTTAATTATAATAAAAATGTATGTTTTCTGAATATTTATGATGGTGAAAAAGAAAACTGTTTTAATGTGAGGGTTAACAAAAAATCTCGTATACAATAGAAATAAAATATATTTGAATGGTAACAAATAAGAAAATGGTTGACAAGTTACGTTTCAACAGCGGTCTGTGAGACCGATATAGTGGTTTAAAGGTTAAGACCTATCAATATTTTCGTTTTTATTCTGCTGCTTAGAGAAATTTCACTTAATTTTATTTCTCTAAGAAAAAAAATCATCTCGAAGTTCAGCGATACAAGCCGCGATAAAAATAGACACATATGGTATCTCCATGACATCCCGTATAACGTTCCGCCGCGCGTTGCAGGGAATTAACGCGTATTATCGAAGGTCCACTTATGGCGCGTACGCTAATTTGCAGTAGCAGATAGGCGATAGCATCTCGTACCGAGAGAGTACAACTGTTGCACTGTACTCTCGGGATGATGCGATTTTTTTCGGCGCTCCACGACAGGCGAGCCACAACACGCACTTCGCGAGCAGCAACGCAATTATGACATACGCATTTCTGTCATTCTAATCTCTCATCCGACAGTGATTCATTTTGATCGAACAGCGTGAAGAATCGCGAGAAATCGCAGAGATGTTGCGCAAAAATTTATTTATAACGCACATATAAATATATCGTGAAAAAGAAAGAAAGCGTAAAACAATTCTACAGTTCTATCGCGAATCGTTTTAAATATTTCATCGTTTAAACAGTTTTGCCATTTACTAAGACAAAATAAAATTAGTGTGACAGAAAAATGATGAAGATGTATAACATATAACAGAAAATGATCATTCGAAAATTATTTTGAAAGTCAGATGATCAAAATACTGGATCAAAAAGATATATTGTCGTCATTTATTCTTCGATTCGTCAAATACTTAAAAATAAAAATTTTATCGTCATAGAGAAAAGAGGGAGCGGAAATACCTTCTGATCTAAATAATTATAATGCTTAATCGTGATCGAATTGATCTGATATATATTGTGAATAAATGTCAACAAGTAATTTAATTACACTAAATAGTATTAAATACCCAATGTAATATCGATGTGTCTCGTTCTTATCACTATCTCCTCTCCAAGTATCGGAAAACACAACGGTACTTTTCCCCTCGAGACTTCGCGATACAATGATCGGCATTGTGGGAAGGCTCGTCGATTGCGCTCGTTTGTCTCCTCATCGTCGATCTCTCCTCTCTTCTCTGTCGCCCGTTTCTCCCGACGTATTTTTCTAAATATAAATTCGAGCGTGTCGTCACAGCCGCCTGTGCGTGATGCAATGTATCAAGCTCGATTCTGTTATCATACCTTGCTTGCAATTTATGACGTCGATGATAAATACTACGAATGGATATACTAACGGATGAGGAAGAGCGTTGCCTTGTGAAAATGTGGAGCGCGCAACTGAGTAATATAGAATTAATAGTCAGGATAAGAAGACCAAAGACGAGAAATACAGGTGTAAGTTAATATTTAATATAACTATGCGATTTTACATTACTCTAGCTTCAATGAACTGCGAGCCGTTACTATGGGATTCAATGCAGCTTTGATTGAAACAGAACCGTATCATCACGCTGTTAAACAATTTTAATGAGTATTGATGCTTACTCGCATCTAATAATGTAGAATTAATTACAGTCGTAATTTTTATGTCACATTAAATTTGAATATATTTGATATTGAAATACACTGTTAAAAAAAATTACATTAAATTTTATGTATGTGTATAGAAGCAAATTTCAACCAGGTACATTAAAAATATTTAATGTTGTTAATGAAAATAAAATTACAACTAACTTAAATCTAATTATCAAAATAATTTAAAGTAAAAAGAACTTAATTTAAATAACGTGTTTAAAAATGGGCTATCAGGAGTCGGCGCGGTTGGTGCGCAAATACATGTGTGAACGGCTTGTATTAGACCATAAATATAATTCACTTAACTAATACATAAATTCTTACAAACTTTCGGCTCCGTTCGAGCCATCAGTGTAACACCACTCAAATACTTCAGCGTGCATTCACACTGACAAAAGTAATCTTGCAATTATAGCGAGAATTATTTAGATACGAAAAATTAGCTAAAACGGATAAGTGATTAATAAGCACTGCGATATCACATATGTTTTGTATTTAATCAATGTAGATAATAGAGACAGAAATTATATCTGAACTATTTATCAAATTTAGCAAGAAGGTTCTTCTATGACGTTTAATCAGTCCAGATTCCAATCCAGAGTCTAATCATATTTGATTATAAGACCAATATTTTCTCATATATATTTTTAGAATAATGCTGCTATAAATTCTACGTATGACAGACAATTTTTTAGCAGATACAAAAAACAGTGATGTAATTTAAATATAATGTTTAGAATTCCAGCTGGAACAGCAAAACATTTCCCTGAGTGCACCGTCGTTCGAAACTGATGTCCGCCGTGGATGCCAGTTCTCATGATTAAAAGCTCCAAAAGCCGATTGATTAGCCGGATGGGAGACTATGTGTGTAATATATTAAAGTAACATGTAATGTCTTGGTTATAAAGCTGCATAATCGAGAACGGCTAAGAGAACTCACCTCAGGAGATCGCACACCGGATAAAACATTTCCGCATATGACATAATGTCAAGTCGAGTACACAATAAGTTACACAATTAGTTAAGAATAAAGTTTAAAACAATAAATTAAATTAAAAGAATTAAAAAATTGTAAAATTAGATTCAAGTATATCATTCTGGCCGGAGCACGTCTATTCTTTACGAAGTAAAGTAAAAGTGACATTTTAATAACAAACGGATACAGAGAGATTACATCAATCTTACATTTCTCTGATTAATAACACATAAACATTGCTTGTGCCTCTCTATACAATTAGTTTGACATTTGTCCTCGTTTGTTATTAAAATGTCATTTTTACTTGTGACTTCGTAAAGAATTAGACGTTCTCCAGCCAGATAATACTTGAATCTAATTTTACAATTTTTTTATTCTTTTAATTTAATTTATTGTTTTAAACTTTATTCGCGCGACTTATTGTGTACTCAATTTGACATTATGTCATATGCGGAAATGTTTTATCCGGTGTGAGATCCTGGGGTGAGTTCTCTTAGCCGTTCTCGATTATGCAGCTTTATAACCAAGATTACATGTTAGTTTAATATATTAGACACATAGTCTCCCATCCGGCTAATCAATCGGCTTTTAGAGCTTTTAATCAGAGAACTGGCATCCATGGCGGACATCAGTTTCGAACGACGGTGCACTCAGGGAAATGTTTTGCTGTTCCAGCTGGAATTCTAAGTATTATACTTAAATTACATCGCTGTTTTTTGTATCTGCTAAAAAATTGTCTGTCATATGTAGAATTATTTATAGCAGCAATATTCTAAAAATATATACGAGAAAATATTGGTCTCATAACCAAATATGATTAGACTCTGAATTGGAATCTGGACTGATTAAACATCATAGAAGAACCTTCTTGCTAAATTTGACAAATAGTTCAGATATAATTTCTGTCTCTATTTATCTATATTGATTAAATACAAAACATATGTGGTATCGTAGTGCTTACTAATCACTTATCCGTTTTAGCTAATTTTTCGTACCTAAATAATTCTCGCTATAAATATTAACTAATAATTGCAAGATTACTTTTTTCAGTGTCAATGCACGCTGATGTATTTGAGTGGTGTTACACTGAAGATGGCTCGAACGGAGCCGAAACGTTTGTAAGAATTTATGTATTAGTTAAGTGAATTATATGGTCTAATACAAGCCGTTCACATATGTATTTGCGCACCATTTACCGCGCCGACTCCTAACAGCCCATTTTTAAACACGCTACTTAAATATAATGTTCATATGCATTAAATTTCATGCACATCCACATGAATACTTATAATTTTCCATAAAATTTTATGAAAAAATACACTAAATTTCGTGCACATGTTCACAAATATACTTTTTAGTTACAGATACATTAAATTTAATGTGTAACTTAAAAGTACATTAAATTTCATGACATTTTTAACAGTGTATAATTCGCTCAAGATAATCTGCTTTTATTAGCTCCTAAAAACGCGATATTTATTTTCTAAAGTCGAATAGTAAGATCAGTTTTCTTAATTTTTTTCCATAATGCTGCTACTTATTTCGTCTTAATCCTGTATGTGCCATTCTTTATCTCCTTATCGTGATACATTCGCGCGAATATTCGGACAAATTTCTTCAATCGACTTCCCGACTTACGAGCGACGAGCATGCTCAATCGCGCAAGGCCGACTTTGTTTTATTCTTAGATCGGTCGCGTGCGGTATTTTGAAAAATTGCGAGTGACGTGAACA